TCATGTGACTTACCACAATAAAAAAAATTTTTTTAATTATCTCTCCCTATTAGAATTTATATTATACACAGGCAAGGATATTAGTCTGTTTTTCTTTTTCCCATGGATGCATTCCTGAGTGCCAATAATAATCACTGGCTCCACAATTTTTGAGTAAGAGAAGAGGATTAAGAAAGTGTCACAATCTAGAAATGCAGCAGACCCAGCTTGATGGCTCTAAATAAACATTTGTTGAATAAAAGAAAACAAAAAGACATATTATTATGTCTCACTTATATGTGGAATCTAAAAAAAAAAAACAATTATATTGGGGCTTTCCTGGTGGTGCAGTAGTTAAGAATCTGCACTCCCAATGCAGGGGGCCTGGGTTCGATCCTTGGTCAGGGAACTAGATCCCACATGCATGCCGCAACTAAGAGTTCGCATGCCATAACTAAGTAGCCCGTGAGCCGCAACTAAGGAGTCTGCCTGCCACAACTAAGACCTGGCGCAACCAAATAAATTAATAAAATAAATAAAAATAAATTTTAAAAAATTATAGATACAGAGAACAGACAGGTGTTTGCCAGAGGCAGGAGATGGGGGTAAGTGGGGTAGGGGAGAAATGGGTGAAGATGATCAAATGGTTTATAAGAATTAAATAATTCCTGGGGAGGGCTTCCTTGGCAGTGCAGGGGTTAAGACTCTGTGCTTCCAATGCAGGGCGCACAGGTTCAATTCCTGGTTGGGGAACTCAGATCCTACATGCCATGCAGCGTGGTCAAAACAAAAAACAAACAAACAAAAAATTCCTGGGGATGTAACGTACAGGTTGGTGACTATAGTTAACAATACAGTATTGTATATTTGAAAGTTGCTAAGAGTGTAGATCTTAAATGTTCTCATCACAAGAAAAAATATTATAATTACGTGTGGCAATGGATGTTAACTAAACTTATTGTCGTGATCATTTTGCCATATATACACCTATCAAATCATTATGTTGTATATCTAAAACTAATACAATGTTATATCCCACTTATATTTCCATCTAAAAAAGAAATATTACTACGGACAGGTTATTTAGAGACGATGTAATTTTAAAAATCGAATTCAACAATTACCACTGATGAATGTATTCATTCATTCATTCACTCAACAAATTATGCTACATCTGCAGCAGTGACCCATGCACAGAGCATACCTTCAAGGAGTCTGACATCTAACTACAGAAACAGGCAGTTAACCCAATTAAATTTCTGTATGATAAAGGAGGGATACAAACTAGTCTCAGGGGGTTAGGAAAAAGGGAGTGACATTTAATCTGAGTTCTAAAGGATAAATAAGGAGTTCAGTAGCTAGAGGGAGAGGTCTGCTCCAGACCCAGGGACTTACATAACCAAAGGCCCAGAAGTAAAAACGTGGCAAAGTCTGCCAGTTTGAATTTCACCCTGAGAAAAGAGAGGGCCAGGGTTTCAAGCTGGTGAGTGACAGATCATGCTGACATTCTAGAATAAAATAATCACTCTGGTTCCTGTGTAGAAAAGAGAATAGAAGCTTGTAAGAGTTTAAAGACTGCAGCTAACCTAGGAAAGAGATCATGGTAACGTGCACAAGGGTAGTGGTAGAGAAGCTAGAGAGAAGTGAACCAATTCAGATCTTCAGGTGGTAGAATCAGCAGGACATGGTGATTAAGGGGATGTGGAGCCAGGAAAGAATGTAAATCAGAGCTGATGACACCCTGGCAACTAGGACTGCTGAGTGGCTGGTGAGATTATTCACTGAGGTTGAAAAATGTGAAGGAAAGAAGGTCTGGGGTAAGATAATGCGCTCAGGTATAAATATATGGCATTTCAGATACCGGTGCAACACCCAAATAGAGGTGCCCCGTAAGATATGGGTCTGGTGCTCAGGAGAAAGGAGGAGGCTGGAGATGGAGAACTGAGAATAATTAATATACAGATGTCAACTGAAGCCATGGGAGTAGATGGGATCACTCTGCAAGCAAATGTAAAGCGAGAAAAGAAAAGCTCAGGCCTGCAGACATTTGCAGAAGCCAAAAAGTTAAATATGATCAAATAATTTTAACCTTTATACAATATTCCCTTTTTGTTTACAGTCAGATACAAAGCCAACTTCTCTACAGAGCACCCAGTACATATTCTATCAGCCTGAAGCCTGGCACAGAGCTATTTATAAAAACCAAGGGCTTGGCTTTCTTCATTATCATCACTTTGGGTATGATACTACAGAAACCAACTTACTAAATCACGCTGTTAAGTGCTTACTAATGTGGAATTCATCAAAAATGAATCAAATCATTCTACAACTAGACATAAAATGCACACTCAAAAATATGATTCACATTTTTAAAGAGGCCTATAATTATCAACATAAAATAGAGCCTCTTTCTGCTAATACAGTACTTTTTAAAAGTATGTAAACTGCAATTTGATGTGGTACTCAGCTGCTTGTTTTGCTCCGCAATTAATTCAATTAGAAATGTACATATTATGAATCAAAGTAAATCCAGCAGAGATGAAATAGTAATTGGTGAATTTGCTTAAAATTGGTTTACTTGCTATCTATATTACAAATTTTGAGAGTGTTTTTTCATAAGAAAACAGCCTGTTCCTCCTCTTTGATCTCATAATCATCTGTGATATGCTGATTATGTCAATATAGAAATAAGACTGGATCCAATATATAACCCCTCTGTTACATTATATGACACCTCATAATAAGGTATATACAGAGGAATACAAACCGTTCTGTACATAGCAGTAAATATATACATGTATGTGTATACTATGTATGACGCATAGACTAACAGTTTGGTGTGTATCCTCCACTCACAAAACAAACACAGAGAGACTACCTCTGGAAAAGAGAAGTGGGAATGGGGGAAGAATGCTGGAGGAAGACTTTTACTTTTTACTCTGCATTAGTCTATACTGTGCTAATTTTTATAATGCAGATGTATCCTTGTATCACTTATGTTTAAAAATGAAGTGTGAAAACTGATGCCACTGATACCTTCCTTATGAGCACAGGGGACATTATACCCTATAACACCTCAGCTTCTTGTGGACAGCTCATTGATGCTATGGCCCCATACATCAAACACTAAGCTACTGACAAAAGTTATGTCCCCCTAGGGTAAACGTATTTTGGATTTTATGCTATGAATTCGCATCCTCTATATCAATTTCCATTCCAAGTGCTTTTGTTCATTACTGTTCATAGTTCAGTCTGTCAACTTAATTTTGTGCTGCTTTGTAGGTATCCACAATAATTACAATGTTTAATGCTGTACCTTAAGGGTGAGCTTAACACAGCAGTTTAAATGCATATGTTCTGGCCATTCTTTGACTCCCATCCCACCTCCTCTACACACACACCCTATCCCCTGCACACAGACAAGCATATCCACTAGCTGTGTTATATATGATATCTTTCATCTTACTAGCTATTTTCCCATTACCTTCTACAGTATATCTGACAATGACATTATTATTGATGCTACAGTAAACACCTAATATATGTGGTAAAAACACATGCGCTGTAATGAATCAAAATGACATACCTACCCACCAGACTCCCTCTACTCATTCTAATCAGATAATGGGTTTTGTTTTTTTTTTCTTGAGTGTACTACAAAAGGAGGAAGTAGCCCTGGGGAAAAACAGTCATAAAAACAAGGGAAAATAAAAGTAAATGTTTAGTTCATTGAGAACAGAAAGGAAGCTCAACTAGAAAATCTGTATCAAATAATATAATTCATTTGGTTCTATATGTAGTCTTCTTAACTTGAAGTTCCCTGAAGCATGGGTGGCAAGTGACACAGACACAAACCCTCCAATCAGACTTTTTAATGTGACCTAATTCATTAGAGCATAATTAAATTTCTTATTAAATGATTAACCATAAGGTTAGAAGAAAAGGTCATGTTGAATGTTGATTATACATCCTTTAAAGAATTTCAAAGATGTTAACAGCAGTACTCTCATAGACTGTCAGTTGTTGTTAATTAACTCAAACTCTTGGAAGGCAACTGAGCATTCTCTTTAAAAATTCAAAATGCATATATCCTTTTACTAATCAGTACAATGGGGAAGAATTTATCCTACAATCAATTTGCACAAGTGGCAAAAATGTGCACGAAAGGATGCCTGGTACAGTACTGGCAATACCAAATATTGGGGAAAAATTATGCATTCATTAGTGGGGAAATTATGATTGTGGTGCATTCATATGATAGAATGAACAGGAGGATACAAAAAGTTCTTCTAGATAGATTATTAAATGAAAAAGAAAATCAAGGTATAAAAGAATTTGTGCCAGAATAACCTGTATCTGTTTTTAAAAACAAAAGATAAAGATACATGAATATGTTTGCACCAAAAAAATGCTGCGAAGATACGTAAGAAACTTAACAGTGGTTAGCTCTGGGAAATGGGACTGAAGTCAAGAGGACAAGAAGATGGAGAGGAGTAAACATTTAACTTTCCTTCAGTGATATATACATATACATACATACATATATATATATATATATATATATATACATATATATATATACACACACACACACATACACACACACACACTATATGGATAGAGTTTATGTATATATATGTATATATAATTATTACCATGTACATATATGATTTTTAAGTTGAAGGAAAAAAACAAGTTAAAATAAATAAAAGATCATGAAGAAACAGAAATAGTTCAACAGGCATAATGGAGAACAAATTTTTTTTTTTTTTTTTTTTTGCGACACGCGGACCTCTCACTGTTGTGGCCTCTCCCGTTGCGGAGCACAGGCTCCGGACGCACAGGCTCAGCGGCCATGGCTCACGGGCCCAGCCGCACCGCGGCATGTGGGATCTTCCCGGACCGGGGCACGAACCCGTGTCCCCTGCATCGGCAGGCAGACTCTCAACCACTGCGCCACCAGGGAAGCCCGGAGAACAAATTTAAGAGTAGAGAGCTTACATACAGCAGAACCTTCTTACCTGACACTTAGCACTACAGTATTTGGCAACTCGGCATTGAGAGCATCGCATCAGCTTTTCCTTCCTGTTAAAAAATAAAGTTCACATTAGGAAATGAATGAGAATCATATATGGCTGAAGAAAGAAAACGTAAGTCAAGGTATTGACACCAATATGTTCTGCTCACTCTATCTGTATGGTCCATGAGATTTAGATTTTCACAGTGATGAACATCTTCTTTCACCTTCAATGTGAGACATATACCTAATAACTAGTGTTCTTTTTTTTTAAATTGTGGTAAGATATATATAACATAAAATTTACCACTTTAGCCATTTTTAAGTGTATAGCTTCAGTGGCCTTAAGTACATTCACATTGTTGTGTAACAGTCACCACCACTAATGTTCTTTTTAACATGAATTTAATGAAAACACAGAGATTCCCACTTAGGCAAAAAAATTCACTTCATAGAGTTCTTTTTTTCATAGAGTTTTTAATGTCTCCATATGAAATTAAGAATCTAGCCTATCAACTAACTGAAAGTACCCTACACCATTCAAATAGAAAAATTTTACCAGTTTAAATTTATCATGTAGTTTAATTGTAATATACTCCTTCTGGGAAATGATTTTCAATTTCCATTAAATTCAATTACTACTTTCAACTTGCTAAATTGAGATGCACCAAAGTTATGTCCTCCCCAAATTGCCTGAGGAAGATAAAAGCCAAAACAAAGAAAAACTTGGATTATAAAATAAAAACAATAAATCTGATGATGAAATTCATAGTAACAAATATCAGACAGGACTGTAGATACTTTCAAGGCAGCCAAGAGCATTAAAAGTCAAACTATAATATTAACAACAGTGACAAAACAGGAACAAATCTTTCTAAGCACTTCTGATGTGCCAGGTACTGTTCAAAGTTCTTTACATCTATTGACTCACACTTAACTTCAGAGAGTCCTATAACTAAGCAGTTTTATTATGTCCATTTTAGAGACACTTCAATACATTTTCAAGAGATAAGCAGCAGATGACTAAGGAAACACACCATAAAGTTCAAGTGGCAGGTGACACTGAAACGGTAACAACTGAACCCTGCAGAGAATCAGAACTTGAATATACCAGGTACCTCACCCATAGGAGAGCAGCAGTGAGATATGGAGCATATAACACGGGGGGAGGTTAAAAGTCTAAATAATGCAAAGTCAAAACACCTCCTACCCCCAAGTGTAGAATTACAGGTGTCAGATATCAACATCCCAGACAACAACCCAAACCCAAGCAACCTGGCCCTAAAGTTCTTGCTTTTAACCATCATATTATACTACCACTGTTAGACAAAACTGGATAAAAACAAAATCCACCCATAGACTATTTTTCTTTAATTAATTAATTAATTAATTTTTTAATTAAAAAATTTTTTTTTTATTTTTGGCTGTGCTGGGTCTTCGTTGCTGCATGCGGGCTTTCTCTAGTTGTGGCGAGCGGGGGCTACTCTTCGTTGCGGTACGTGGGCTTCTCATTGTGGTGGCTTCTCTTGCTGTGGAGCACGGGCTCTAGGTGCTTGGGCTTCAGTAGTTGTGGCATGTGGGCTCAGCAGGTGTTTCTTGGAGACTCTAGAGCACAGGCTCAGTAGTTGTGGTGCACGGCTTAGTTGCTCCGTGGCATGTGGGATCCTCCTGGACCAGGGAATGAACTGGTGTCCCCTGCATTGGCAGGTGGATTCCTAACCACTGTGCCACCAGGGAAGTCCCGTCATAGACTATTTATGAGACACACTCCAAATAAAAGGACATACAAAGGTGGAATGAGATGGATATGCTAGGCAATATTAACATTAATATTAAAATTGATTAAACACTAATAGAAAAAAGCCTGTGTAACTATATCAATATCAGAAAAAGAGACATTAAGGTTAAAAATATTACTAGAGATGAATACGGTCAATACACAAAGATAAGACTCCAATCACTAGGTATTAAGTACCTAGTAACAAATGTTCGCAGTCTAAAAATACATAAAGTAAAAGTAACATCTAAAAAAAATGATCAATACACAATAAATTAATACAAGTAAGGCCTTAAAAATAATGCCTGGAATATAATAAGTACCATACAAGTATTAGTTATCAAGTCTTTTTCAGGAATTCATAGATCAAGCACATAAAGAATAAGGAGCTCTATAATTTACTTGATCTCATGCAAAACACAGACCCTTGCACCTTTTATATTAATGTGTATTCACATACTCTTTTCAAGTACCCACTGGCCATTTACAAAATATGCCCACACATTAGGCCACAAAACAAATCTAAAACTCCCAAAGAATCAATATTATACAGATAATTTTCTCCAACCATAAAAGAATTAGATTAGAAATCAGTAAAAAAATAAATAAACCCAGTAAAATCTCATATTTATAGAAACTTAAAAGCTTATATAATTCAAGGATCAAAGAATTGTCATGAAAATTAGAAAACGTATTAGATTAAATAATGAAAAAAAATCGAAACGTGAGATACAGCTAAAGTAATACTTAAAGGAACATTTATAGCTTTAAATGTTTATGTTGACCGCAGTGGCATAATTTTTTAATCTCCTTAACTTTCCCCATAAAAAAATGACAGAGCAAGTAGGAAATAGGAAAACCTAACCATCACTCCCCACCCTGGAAAATATCTACAACAAACCCAAAAATATTAGCAGGAAAAAGGAAACACACATACATACACACACATACACTTCTAGCTTCAAGACTTGAATTAAATCAGTATATCTGTGGGAGAAAACAAAGAAGGCAACTTCCAATAGACCTGAAAACAGAAGAAGCACCAAACTGCCAAAAGATCCCTGGCAGAAAGCCTGTCAAGCCAAAATGAGAACTGCAGCCAAGATTGGGATAGTATGATTTCTGCAGGAACACTCCTGAGGATGAGGTCCCTGGGGCTCCCCTGAATCCTGCTTTCCTTAGACCTGGCTCCTCAGATTTCCCCTCATTTCCTTTTTTCTTGTCTAAGTTATTCAGAGGCTATTTCTGTTGCTTGCAAATAAAGATCCCCAACTATACAAAGTGTTTCATCTCAATTTTTACAAATAATAAGCAGGGCTTCCCTGATGGTGCGGTGGTTGAGAGTCCGCCTGCCGATGCAGGGGACACGGGTTCGTGCCCCGGTCTGGGAGGATCCCACATGCCGCGGAGCGGCTGGGCCCGTGAGACATGGCCACTGAGCCTGTGCGTCCGAAGCCTGTGCTCCGCAACAGGAGAGGCCACAGCAGTGAGAGGCCCGTGTACCGCAAAAAGGAAGGAAAAAGAAAAAATAAATAAATAAATAAAAATAATAAGCAGAATCAAAATACCCAGGAAAATCAGTGATGAACCTGGTAGCAAATATTAAAACTTTGTCTTCTCTCTCCCATAGCTCTCAACCACAGGCTTTAATGAATTTTAACACAGAATTTCAGCAAAATAAATAGCAAGATGATTCAAAGTACTGGGATAATTCAGCTGCCATTTGATGTGTAAAAAAAAATTCCTTAACATGAGTTATTTAAATGTTTGGGGTTACTTTTCCATATCAAATAACCAAACAAATAAATTTAAGTTCTCAAGTTTCAAAAAAAAAGGTCAACTGAATCCAAGAGAAAAGTAGTGTGTCTGATTAGAGGAACCACTGAGGCTTTGAAGAGTTACTGCTTTTCTCTGTTGAGTAAGGTTCAGAGTAATAGCCTCCTGGTAAGGTCTCCCTGCAGAGAAAAAATTGGGGCAGCAGTGGGAGAGGAAAATAAGTATCAGAAACATAGCCACCCAGACAGTTCATGAAAACATTCTTTCTCTCTTAAAAAAAAAAATCAACACATCATTTCCAACTGAAAGACAAACCCACATTTTTCTTTAAAAAATCAGAAATGTACATGTCAAATAAAAAACAGAATTAATTAGAAGCCCTAAATAAAAAGGATCACTTATTCTAGGTGGTAGCTCCAGAAGCTAAAACAAGAAATATTGAATGCAAGTGAGAGAGGGACAGATTCTGTCTAAAGGTAAAGAAGATCGTTGTGGCAACAGCAACTGTTCAAAAATCAAAAGAAATGCCCTGAGGAGGTGGAGTTCCAGGTCATTTGACATGTTCAAGGAGAATCTGATAGGTACATTTACAAACATATGTACAGGAAATTCCAGCACTGCAGAGGAGCATGAATTAAATGTTTCCTTCTAATTCCAAAATTATTTGGTTCTGCTTCTCCTGTGTAACAAAAAAAATAAATAAAATTTGAAGATAACAAAATTTGTGCCTATTATAAGGCCAAACATGATAATCTCCCAGGAGTAGAGAAGCGAGCAATATACAATTTTCAGACTCCACAAACATCCTGTTTGCAAAGCGATTATTTCAAGAGTCCATCCAGAACTGGAATTTCTGAATAAAAAGGAATCTAAAGAAACAGGTTAGGAATGTATCAGTAACAGAAAGGTGATTTAGTTTTACCTCTTTTTTCCCCTCCACTTAAGAGACAAATAGTAGCAGTCTACCTCTAAATTAAAGAAGATATTAAAATTACTGTATACTAAAATAAATGGAAGTTTTAGGCCCCCATCCTAAAAAAGCAAAAAGGGTTCCTTTATCACTTGTTCATATAAACTCAGATGTTACTGAACACAAGGTCAAATCAGAGAAAATTCTCAGCTTGCTCAGTGCTCCAGATACAGCGATTCACGGAGCATAAGTTAAGTCCTCTCTTCCAAGTAAAAGTTGGGTCGTAATTAGTTTCTCCAATAGCCTAGGCAACTGAAGTGTAAAAAGGAAATTAAAATAAAGCTCAATTAATTGTTCTGCTGCTATACAAATTAAAAAGTCATACAGTTGACCCTTGAACAACATGGGGCTTAGGGGCGCCGACCCTCCGTGCAGTTGAAAATCTATGTATAACTTTACAGTTTGGCCCCACATATCTGAGGGTCTGCATTCACGGATTCAACCAAACTCGGATGGTGTTGTACTGTAGTGTGTATTTAGTGAAAAAAACTCTGAGTTTTTTTCACTAAAATATAGTGAAGACTAAAACATAGTGGACCCATGCA